GAGCAGGGAGCCCGATGCGGGACTCGATCCAGGGACTCCAGGATCATGACCTGAGCCGAAGGCAGTCACTTAACCAACTGAGCCACCCAGGCGCCCATGGCCATGTATTTTATATTGCCACACAGGACATGCCTACATATGTATAATTGAAACAAAATTTCTGTAAATGACCCCTACTTGTAGTATATATAAGGTGTCCTGATGTTTTCCATTTTATTGTTTCTTCTTCTTTTTAAAAAATACTAGTGGCAGCTAACAAACTTGATTTCATGACATGTCCATGCGTCATGACTAGAGTTTGGAGGACATTTATATGATCTGGTCCTTGCCCTGCCTCTCTGACTTAATCTCCACCACTCCCAGTCCTTGCTTACTGTCCTCCAGTTACACCTGTGTCCCTACTCTGCCACAGATATGACATGTTCACTCTTGCTTTAGGGCTTTTGCGTTTGCTCTTCTCTCTGCCTAGAACACAGTTTCCCCAGGTTGATGGTCTCATTGCTCATTTCCTTATTTTTTTTTAAAGATTTTATTTATATATTTGACAGAGAGAGAGAGCCAGAGAGCACAAGCGGAGTGAATGGCAGAGCGAGAGGGAGAAGCAGGCTTCCCACTGAGCAGGGAGCCTGACATGGGGCTCGATCCCAGGACCCTGGGATCATGAACCCGAGCCCAAGGCAGACGCTCAACCATCTGAGCCACCCAGGCACCCCTCCTTATTTTTTGTTTTAAAGATCTTATTTATTTGAGAGATTGAGAGAGAGAGAGCACGAGGTGGGGAGGGGCAGAGGAAGAGGGAGAAGCAGGCTCCCCACTGAGCAGGGAGCCTCATGTGGGGCTTGATCCCAGGATCCCGAAGAGGATGAGCCGAAGGCAGATGCTTATCCGACTGAGCCACCCATGTGCCCCTCGCTTCATTATTTTATAGGGAACTCTGCACAGTTGTTTTCTTATAGGAGACTCCCTGACCATTCCCCCCATCTCGCCACTATCCATTCTCTTATCCTGTGTAACTTTTCAATGTAGCCCACATATATTGTGTAATAGATTCGACATATATTTACATGTTTGTCTCTTCATGAGAAGAAGCTTTGTGAAAGTAAGGATTTTGGTTTTTCATTCACTGCTGAACCCACTGAGCCTAGAGCAGTGCTGGCATCATCGTATGTATCCCTTTTTTTTTTTTATTAGTTGAATGAATGAATAAAGGTAATTCATAGACAGATGTATATTGACTAAACTTTCTAGGAGCAAAGTCCCTAACCTGTCTTATATCTTAAGTTTAAGGTACGGGCTTTGGGTCGGAGACCCCTGTAGACTCTGGGAGCAGACCAAATGCCATTTGGTCTGAGAATTCTGGGGTCCTGCGCACCTTGCACTTAGACTGGAAGGAGAATGTGATCTCGGGGAAAGTCTGGACCTTTGACTCCGTAAACTCCTTAACTATGGGGAAGGGCATTGCTATGGGCAGGCCAATGAGGGCCCGTCTCACTCAGGTGTGATCTTTGTATCATCTAGGATTTATATACTAATCAGGTTCTGTCTGGTGGCCCAGGTGCTAATGTTTTAGTGATCTTTTCTATGGGAGCAATAATAGTGGCGTTCAGAGGTTATCATTTCTGCCTGGCATCATGCAGCTAAGTCAGACTGGATTCGTGGAAGGACTCAGTGGCAGAGTTTGGTCATGACAGGTTTGGGGTGTGAAATGCCCCAGGGAGGCGTTGTACGATGCTGATGCCTGGACCATAGCAACAGCCATCTTGCTGGTTTACCTACTGTAGTCTCTTTCTACCTGTCTTGCACACTGCTGCTTGGCAATGCCTCTCAATTGAAAAGAGTTAAGTATATTTTGTTTTTACTGCTCAATAAAGTAATGCATACTCTTGGTAAAAATTTTCAGTGTTATGGAACTGTATAACATGAGAAAGTAGAAATCTTATGTAATTCTAGCTCTGAAGAGAAACTCTTCTATCAATTTGGTATATAGTCTATTATTTTTTTGCACAGGTACCAACAGATATATGCTTTATACTTGTATTTTTGTTTTTATAAACATTTTTATTTTAGAAAATCACAGCTGTGCAGGCTACTTGTTTTCACTGAGTAAAGTATCATAATTGGTTTTCCATGACAGTATTTACTGATCTACCTCATTCTTTTTAATAGCAGGTCATATTCTGTATTATGGATCTGCTATATTTGAAGCAATCATGGATTTTGGTGTCACTTACAACAATACTAACATAAATACCTTTTCATATTTGTACTTGCATATTTGTGTAAGCATTTCTATGGGACATATTCTGTATGCTGATTATTTTTAGAAAATACTTCTTTAATTCTCTTACAGCCCAGTTTGGAAATCTTCAGTGGCTTTGATCACTTACAGGATAAAGTCTAGCCCAGTGCTGTCTAATAGAAATATAATATGCAACAAAAGTAATTTAAGATCTTCTAGGGTGCACATTATAAAAGGTGAAAAGAAACAGGTGAAAATAATTTTAATACTTTTTATTTAACCAAATGTATCCCAGGTATTATATTTTTGGTGTATAATCAATATCAAAACGTAATTACAGAGGGGTACCTGGGTGGCCCAGTTGGTTGAGCATCCGACTCTTGATCTCAGCTCAGGTCTTGATCTCAGGGTTGTGAGTTCAAGCCCCACATTGGGCACCACGCTGGGCTTAAAAAAAACCCAAAACCAAAAAACATAATTACAGAGATATTTTGTGTTCTTTTTTTGTATTAAATCTTTGAAATCTGCTGAGTACTTTACACTTAAAGCACATCTCAAATTGGATTGTTCCACATTTCAAATGCTCAGATGGCCACATGTGACCAGTGGCTACTGATTGGATAGCACAGATCTAGACTCTTAGCCTAGTACTTAAGAAGCTTTACAGATAAGCCACAGTGAATCAAATAGAGCCAGCTTGCCTTTGTCTCTGACACTCC